GGTTGAGGTCAGGGCTCTGTACAGGCCACTAGAATCTCTCCACACTGATCTTGTTAAACCATGTCTATATGGAGCTGGCTCCACTCTACTTTGAAGGCTTCCCGCAAAATTTCAGTGTGTCTGGGGGAATTTCTGTCCTTTCAGTTAAATGAACATTTGTGAGGTCAGGAACTGATGTTGGATGAGAAGACCTGGCTCACAATTGACATTTTAATTCATCTCAAAGGTGTTCAGTAGGGTTAGGGTAAGGGCTCTGTATAGGCCACTAGAACTCTTCCACACCGAACTGGTTAAAACCATGTCTTTATGGAGCTGGCTCCATTCTCCTTTGAAGGCTTCTTGCAAAGTTTCAAAGTGTGTCTGGGGGAATTTTTGTCCTTTCAGCCAAATGAACATTTGTGAGGTCAGGAACTGATGTTAGATGAGAAAACCTGGCTCACAATTGGCATTCTAATTCATCTCAAAGGTGTTCAGTAGGGTTAGGGCAGTGTTTCTCAACTCCAGTCCTCATGGACCCCCAACAGGTCATGTTTTCAGGATTTCCCTCAGATGAAACAGCTGTGGTAATTACTAAGGCAGTGAAACTGATCAAATCACCTGTGCAAAATAATGGAAATCCTGAAAACATGACCTGTTGGGGGTCCATGAGGACTGGAATTGAGAAACACTGGGTTAGGGTAAGGGCTCTGTATAGGCCACTAGAACTCTTCCACACCGAACTGGTTAAACCATGTCTTTATGGAGCTAGCTCCATTCTCCTTTGAAGGCTTTTTGCAAAATTTCAGAGTGTGTCTGGGAGAATTTCTGTCCTTTCAGCCAAATGAACATTTGTGAGGTCAGGAACTGATGTTAGATGAGAAAACCTGGCTCACAATTGGCATTCTAATTCATCTCAAAGGTGTTCAGTAGGGTTAGGGCAGTGTTTCTCAACTCCAGTCCTCATGGACCCCCAACAGGTCATGTTTTCAGGATTTCCCTCAGATGAAACAGCTGTGGTAATTACTAAGGCAGTGAAACTGATCAAATCACCTGTGCAAAATAATGGAAATCCTGAAAACATGACCTGTTGGGGGTCCATGAGGACTGGAATTGAGAAACACTGGGTTAGGGTAAGGGCTCTGTATAGGCCACTAGAACTCTTCCACACCGAACTGGTTAAACCATGTCTTTATGGAGCTAGCTCCATTCTCCTTTGAAGGCTTTTTGCAAAATTTCAGAGTGTGTCTGGGAGAATTTCTGTCCTTTCAGCCAAATGAACATTTGTGAGGTCAGGAACTGATGTTAGATGAGAAAACCTGGCTCACAATTGGCATTCTAATTCATCTCAAAGGTGTTCAGTAGGGTAAGGGCTCCGAATTTATCCCACAGGTGTTCAATAGGGGTTAGGTCATTGCTCTGTATAAGCCACTAGAATTTCTCCACACCAAACTGGTCAAAACATGTCTAAATAGAACTGGATCAATCTCTCCTTTGAAGGCTTCCCACAAAATTTCAGAGTTTGTCTGGGGGAATTTGTGTCCTTTCCGCCAAAGGAACATACAGTATGTGAGGTCAGGTATGTTGGATGAAAAGACCTGGCTAGCAGTTGATGTGTTCAGTAGGTTTGAGGTCAAGGCTCCATACCTGACATTCAAGTTCCTTCACACCAAACCGGTCAAACCTGTTTTTATGGACCTGCACAGGGGCACAGCCATGCTGGAACAAAGAAGCGACTGAATGGGAAAACATTAATCTTATCTAACACAATAACAGGGCAAGTAGCATACAAACAATGTTTAGGGAAATAGACCAGTAAAACAAATCCTTCTCCAAGACAAGGGCACCTGGATATACAGCAATTCACAAATTACTGAAAGTCACTTTCCTGCCCGGAATAATATAACAGCATGGATGCGGCCATGTTGGGAGTCTAGAGCTCCCAGCTATTGAATTTTCAGGAGTGAGAAGGTATATTGACCCCCCCCCCCCCGCACTGTTTTGTAATGTTCTCTAGTATTGATACTGTTCTGCTCTGAAATGTGACTATTTATGGAAAGACGTTCCTTTGCCTTATCACCACGCACAGAATGTATGGGAGATATTACAACTGTTTCAACTGTTCTGAATTCTAATAAAGATTATATTTTTCTGTACATATTTTCTGTGAACTGTTTTTCTTAGTTTTTTTTCTTGAAATAAAGCAGCCTGTGGGCGCAACCTAGGGCGGTCTTCACGCAACTGCGCCCTGTCTAGAAATGACTGCTCCTCTAGACTGACATCCAGAGCCGTGCATAATTCGCTGAATTTCAGAGTGCTCCTGAAAGTGAGCAGAGTAGCCGATAGCCTGATAGCTTGGGGTAGGGAGTTCCAGAGGATGGGTGAAGCCCTTGAGAAATCCTGGAGACGAGCATGGGAGGAGGAGACAAGGGAGCTAGAGAGTAGGAGGTCTTGTGAGGAGCGGAGAGTACGGTTTGGGTTGTATTTAGAGACAAGGTCGGTACTGTAATTAGGGGCAGTGTTATGAACGGCTTTATACGTCAGTGTTTTGAATTTTATCCATTGGGCAATTGGAAGCCAGTGTAGGGATTGGCAGAGAGGGATGGCAGAAACTGAGCGGTTAGTAAGGTGGATGAGTCTGGCAGCATCATTCATGATGGACTGAAGAAGAGATAGTCTACGGAGAGGTAGGCCTAGGAGAAGGGAGTTACAATAGTCAGTCAAGGCAGGAGATAACCAGGGAATTCTAGAGATGTTACGGAGGTGAAGTCTACAAGATTTGGACAGTGATTGGATTTAGGGCTGGAAGGACAGATGGGAGGGACTGATGGGAGGGGGGAGGGGACTGATGGTTGTATTATTGATCTTGATGGAAAAGTCATGTAGGAGTGCACAAGGGGAGGGAATATTATCAGCTCGGATTTGGAGAGATTTTGTTTAAGGAATGGTGGGACATCCATGCTGATACGTCAGTTAGTAAGTGCAAGCTTAGTGGAACCTACACCCAGTAGTCACTCACTTGTCAAAATCACTGCCGTTATCACTACTCCTGCCAGCTGGTCCTCCCACCCACCCCTTGCCCCAGCCCTGGTTGATGCCTCCTTGCTGTCCTTTTAGGCAGTACAAAAACAGCAATGCAGGCCATCCATGGATCGAATTCCGAACAAAATTTCTTTAGAAAAAAGGAAATTTTGTGCGTTTTGTAATACGATGGCGCCACCATTGATTTCGAAATTCAACCAAACCGAGCCTTCAATTTCTCCTCGTGTTGCTAAAGACAAGAATTTTCGTGGCCAAGAGTTTTCTTTTTCTTTCCAGGTCACAGCTTTTTATTTCTTGCACCATTCTCCCATCATTGATTTGAAATTTGTTTCTTTTTAAAAAAATTTCCAACATGCCCGATCATTCAAATTCGATGGTCACATGAAAATCGGCCGTTTCTGTGACCCACTAATGGTGCGAAATTCGAACGAAAATTCTTAGAAAAGATTTTAGAAAGAAAATAATTTCTGAATTCGACCCGCGTATGGCCGGATTTAGTAAACTGGGAGCAGGGCTTATACTTCCTGTCTGTGCTATTTTTCTGAATGGGATTGCAGTGGAAGTCCATGGGGCCACCATCTGAAGTGACGGATTCCAGTCCATAAGAGCGCACAGTGGCATTTTCTGGGAAAAAAACCTTTCCCATTACCATCTATGGAACCTGAAGTAAACTGAGGCGTCTTTGCCTCAGTCTGCCCATCTATGGCACATTGGAAGAGGTCAACATAGCATATGGCAAAGCTAGTAGTAGTTAGTCACATTCAGCTGGCCTTGTTGAAGATGTTTCGAAAATTCTCCAAGCCACTTCTTTAGTTCCAATGAGTGTCAGGAACATACACCAACATACCCATCCACACAGGTACCACTGGCACCTCCATCTAATCACCATGGAATGACAGATTATTGTCTAAGGATAGGCTGGGAGGTGAGAAAGTTGGGGAACCACCCTGTTCTAGATATATAATCCCATCCTTGGTGTCAGGATGGTTCCACAACTTTCATACCTGCGGTCCTGTTCTTGGACAATCAACACGTATTATCACATTGGTTGGATGAAGGTGTCTGTGGTACCCGAGTGGATATAAATGTTGGGGTGAGTTCCTGACAATTATGAAAACTTATATTTGGAGAATTTACGAAATGTCTCCATTAGACAGTGGGGGGTCCTCTTTCTTACAGCAGTTTTTATAGAGGGGAGGGGTCCTCTTTATTACAACAATTCTTGTTTTTCTGCCCCCCACCTTGCAATGTCACTAGGATTGTTTTTTTTTTACCTATTGATCTTGCTTTTACTTTTCAATTTTCCTTCAATTTGCTAAACCCCCAACAGTACAATCAGTCTGTAGATGCAGTAAAGCGTGCTTGTTATACTCACTGTGGAACCTAAGGGGGTAATCCTCTGCATTGTGTAAAAAGGCTGTTTGATCCTGTCTTCTCTGCCCCTCCTCCTGTTCAAATGTCCATGCTGATGAGACAGACTGAACCTGTAGCCCTTCTGCACATGCTCAGTTTAGTGCTGAATTAAACCTAGAGAGGTTTAATTTTTTTTTTTCTTAGGAGAGTGCATGTGATCAGCACAGGGCTAATCAGCACTGTCCAGACAGAGGTCAGGGGTTCTGCATCCTCCTAGAGCAGAAAGAAAACTCCTGCAAGCTTTAACCAATGCTCTGCTGAAGTCACAAGACTGCTCTAACTGCTGATGATAAAATGTATTTAGCAGTTTATATTTACTAAAATAATTGAATTTCCATGTTGTGTGTACTGTGGGAGACCAGATATAGTGAATGCAGGGTCCGGGGAGAGCGGATATAGTGAATGCAGGGTCCGGGGAGAGCGGATATAGTGAATGCGGGGTCCGGGAAGACCGGATATAGTGAATGCGGGGTCCGGGGAGAGCGGATATAGTGAATGCAGGGTCCGGGGAGAGCGGATATAGTGAATGCGGGGTCCGGGAAGACCGGATATAGTGAATGCGGGGTCCGGGGAGAGCGGATATAGTGAATGCAGGGTCCGGGGAGACCGGATATAGTGAATGCGGGGTCCGGGGAGAGCGGATATAGTGAATTCAGGGTCCGGGGAGAGCGGATATAGTGAATGCAGGGTTCAGGGAGAGTGGATATAGTGAATGCAGGGTTCAGAGAAAGCGGATATAGTGAATGCAGGGTACGAGGAGAGCGGATATAGTGAATGCAGGATCCGGGGAGAGCGGATATAGTGAATGCGGGGTCCGGGGAGAGCGGATATAGTGAATGCAGGGTACGAGGAGAGCGGATATAGTGAATGCAGGATCCGGGGAGAGCGGATATAGTGAATGCAGGGTACGAGGAGAGCGGATATAGTGAATGCGGGGTCCGGGGAGAGTGGATATAGTGAATGCAGGGTCCGGGGAGAGCGGATATAGTGAATGCGGGGTACGAGGAGAGCGGATACAGTAAATGCAGGGTCCGGGGAGAGCGGATATAGTGAATGCGGGGTCCGGGGAGAGTGGATATAGTAAATGCAGGGTCCGGGGAGAGCGGATATAGTGAATGCAGGGTACGAGGAGAGTGGATATAGTGAATGCGGGGTCCGGGGAGAGTGGATATAGTGAATGCAGGGTACGAGGAGAGTGGATACAGTGAATGTGGGGTCCGGGGAGAGCGGATACAGTGAATGCAGGGTACGAGGAGAGCGGATACAGTGAATGCGGGGTCCGGGGAGAGCGGATACAGTGAATGCGGGGTCCGGGGATAGCAGATATAGTGAATGCGGGGTCCGGGGATAGCAGATATAGTGAATGCGGGGTCCGGGGAGAGTGGATATAGTGAATGCAGGGTTCAAGGGGAGCGGATACAGTGAATGTGGGGTCCGGGGAGAGCGGATACAGTGAATGCAGCTTCCGGGGAGAGCGGATATAGTGAATGCGGGGTCCGGGGAGAGCGGATATAGGGAATGCGGGATCTGGAGAGACCGGATATAGTGAATGCGGGGTCCGGGGAGAGCAGATATAGTGAATGCGGGGTCCGGGGAGAGCAGATATAGTGAATGCGGGGTCCAAGGAGAGCGGATATAGTGAATGCGGGGTCCAGGGAAAGCAGATATAGTGAATGCGGGGTCCGGGGAGAGCAGATATAGTGAATGCGGGGGTCCGAGGAGAGCGGATATAGTGAATGCGGGGTCTGGGAAGAGTGGATATAGTGATTGCAGGGTCCGGGGAGACTAGATATAGTGAATGCGGGGTCTTGGAAGAGCGGATATAGTGAATGCAGGGTCTGGGGAGACCAGATATAGTGAATGCAGGGTCTGGGGAGACCAGATATAGTGAATGCGGGGTCCGGGGAGAGCGGATATAGTGAATGCGGGGTCCGGGGAGAGCGGATATAGTGAATGCAGGGTCTGGGAAGAGCGGATATAGTGAATGCAGGGTCTGGGGAGACCAGATATAGTGAATGCAGGGTCTGGGGAGACCAGATATAGTGAATGCTGGGTCCGGGGAGACCAGATATAGTGAATGCGGGGTCTGGGGGGGAGACCAGATATAATGAATGCTGGGTCCGGGGAGAGCGGATATAGCGCAATAGAAAAATTAGTAAGCTGCAATATACACTACTCAAAAAAATTAAAATGGCCCCCATGTGCTTGTATGCATGCCTGACAACGTCGGGGGGAGGCTCCTAATAAGATGACAGATGGTGTCCCTGGGGGATTTCCTCCCACATCACTAAGTTCCTGGACAGTCTGAGGTGCAATGTGAAGGTGGCAGATGGACCAAAACATAACATCCCAGAGGTGTTCTATTGGATTTAGATCAGGCGAGCATGGGGGTCATTCAATGGTATCAACCCAGGTCCCACTGCACCAGGAGGAACCCAGGTCACACTGCACCAGGAGGAACTCGGGACCCACTGCACCAGGAGGAACTCGGGACCCACTGCACCAGGAGGAACTCGGGACCCACTGCACCAGGAGGAACTCGGGACCCACTGCACCAGGAGGAACCCAGGACCCACTGCACCAAGAGGAACCCAGGACCCACTGCACCAAGAGTAACCCAAGACCCACTGCACCAGGAGGAACCCAGGACCCACTGCACCAAGAGGAACCCAAGACCCACTGCACCAGTGTAGGGTCTGACAATGGGTCCAAGGATTTTCATCCCCATACCTAATGGCAGTCAGGGTGCCATTGTCTAGCCTGTAGAGGTCTGTGTCCCTCCATGGAGATGCCTCCCCAGACCATCACTGACCCACCATTAAAACTGTCATGGTGAACCATGTTACAGGCAGCAGAACATTCTCCATGGCTTCTCCAGACCCTTTCACGTCTGTCACATGTGCTCAGGGTGAACCTGTTCTCATCTGTGAAAAGCACAGGGTGCCAGTGGTGGACCTGCCAATTCTGGGGTTCAATGGCAAATGCCAATCCAGCTCTATGGTGCCGGGCAGTGAGCACAGGGCCCTCTAGAGGATGTCGGGCCCTCAGGCCACCCTCATGAAGTCTGTTTCTGATTGTTTGGTCAGAGACATTCACACCAGTGGCCTGCTGGAGGTCAATTTGTAGGGCTCTGGCAGGGCTCATCCTGTTCCTCCTTGCACAAAGGAGCAGATTCTGGTCCTATTGATGGGTTAAGGACCTTCTCCGGCTTTGTCCAGCTCTCCTAGAGGAACTGCCTGTCTCCTGGAATCTCCTCCATACTCTTGAGACTGTGCTGGGAGACACAGCAAACCTTCTGGCAATGGCAGGTATTGATGTGCCATCCTGGAGGAGTTGGACTGCCTGTGCAACCTCTGTAGGGTCCAGGTATGGCCTCATGCTACCAGTAGTGACACCGACCCTAGCCAAATGCTAAACTAGTGAAAAACAGTCAGACAAGATGAGTAGGGAAAAAAAGTCAGTGGCCTCCACCTGTAAAACTGTTCCTGTTTTGGGGGTTGTCTCATTGTTGCCCATCTAGTGCACCTGTTGTTAATTTCATTACCACCAAAGCAGCTGAAACTGATGAACAACCCTCTCTGCGACTTACCTGACCAGATCCATATCCCAGGAGTTTCATGGACTTGATGCTAGACTCTGATTAAAAAGTGTTCATTTCATTTTTTTTGAGCCGTGTATTATTTTGAATTGATATATAGGATTACCTGGTATCTGAGGTTCAAAGGCACCACATCCCACCAAATAGATTAAAAAACACGTATATACAAAAAAACGTGATTTTCAAGGTGCCAACACAATATGGTAAAAATATCCAAAATTTTATTAAAATATACAAAGATTTAAAAACAACAATTTTATAAAACCTGGTTTTGTTACATTGTTGTTTTTTAAATATTTGTATATTTCATTAAAATGTTGGGTATTTTTACCATGTTGTGTTGACACCTTGAAAATCACATTTTTTTGAATAAAATATTTTAGTTGATTCTGTAATTGATTGCCTTTGACCCGGGGAATTTTCCAGACTAAACTGGCTTCTTCCAGAGGTGTTGTGTAAATGTTCCACATGAATAAAGCACAGAATTTAGTCCTTCACCTTGCCCCCATGCAAGGTGACCTGCATCCCTGTAATCACAAAAATGCAGTTAACCCAAAATAAACAATCACTCCAAATAATACGATGTTTCCTTAGACGCCAAGAGTTTCACTTTCTCCTCTGAAAGTTCACAAAGTCAATGTAACAAACATACATCCGATGCAGCTTTCCGTTTAACCTCCCTGGCGGTATGATTATTTCAGATTTTTGGTGCTGAAAGCGGTATTTTTTTTGCATGGAAATATGTGATTTTTTTATTGTAGGCCTGTAATTCTTAGGAATAACTCACTGAAATCTGTCCGAACAAGAGTCTAGTAAACATCCCGGGGAGGATAAAACTTGAAACGCGAAATCATAAATTATAATTTAATAAATAATCATAAAAAAATAATAATATAATAATAATAAATTTAATTCAATAATATAATCAAACCAAAAACACTGAAATGTGAAATAGAGCGCCAAGTTCACACATCGCTGAGCTCAGTCGCAGAATCGTTTTCAGTGTCTGATGAGGAATTTCCCCCACCAATCATTATCACTCAATTCTGCAAGTGGTTCTGATTTACTATCGCTGTTCTCTAGCCGGTCTAAAACCGCTTTTGACCTAAAGGGACACTTTTTGGACGCCATGGACGTTTCTCAGTTTCCAGGCAGAAAGAACAGTAATAATGCAGGCAGGACGCCGGACAAAGCACTCGGGACAAAATGTATGTGAAATGGTTTGATACAGGAATGTTATACTATGTGATTTTAGTGATTTTAGTGAATGTCACTTTTTGTCATTTTTCAAATTTCCCCGCCAGTTCCGTCCCCCGTACATCCTGACGCTCGCAGGGGACGGAACCCAGAAGACAGATGCCGGCATCCGCCGGAGGACATTGCCGGGGACACTGCAGGGGGGACATCGCGGGAGCGCAGGACAAGGAAAGTGATTGAGGGATCGCAGAGCAGCGTTGCATGGTAAGCCCGAGTGTAGCTCGGGGGGGGGTTACCGCTTGTGGTGCTGAAACTTTACCCCGAGCTACACTCGGGAATACCGCCACGGAGGTTACACAAAACTCCCCATGTGGAGAACATTGACTCTAGTTCTGAGAAAAGATGGATGAAAGAGCGGCCCATCAAGTCTGTCCCAATTTCTTCATATTTTTTTTTACATTTTTTAAAACGTTTTTTTTACTTTTTTAATAATTAAAAAAAAAATACCATACAGAACTATTGTTATCATTGGTTCTAGGTGAGGGAATTCAACTTGAAGAGCAAACCCACCTGCCATTTTCTATAGGAGGACCTTATTGTCATCTCCCCATCTTTTATCTATATCAGGGTTTCTCAACCTTTGCACCTTTGAGGCAGGGCTGTCTTATAGCACAGGCACCCCAAGGGCCAAAGGTGCATGGTGGACCCCTGAAGCCCCCCCCCCCCCCCCAGTTTCCTTCCATGCTTTGCAAGGAATAACCCCCAAGGTGGAGCATTTTGCCACTGCATTTGTGGGCAGGGTGTGTACAGATCTGATCACATGAGTTGAGTAGGAAAGGAGGGCAGGCAGGGATCAGAGCAGTACACATCCTGCCCACACAAGCAGTAGAAGTAGTAAGATGCTCCGACATGGGGGGTTCTTCCTTAACCCCTGCAAAGCACTGGAAGAGCAACAAAAACTGCAAGGTGGGGGTAGAGGGGGAAGAGATGTTACTAGATTGTAGATTCAGCCCAGTGACAGGTGCCAGAACAGGTAAGATCTATGACAGCAGCTTCCCTGCGCTGCTCTGCTTGAGGAGACCATATCTATATTATACATTACTGCACCCTATATTGTACCCTCCTGCCCCCCCCCCCCCCCCCCCCCCCCCCCCCCCAGAACAGGTACGATCTATGACAGCAGCTTCCCTGAGCTGCTCTGCTTGAGGAGACCATATCTATATTATACATTACTGAACCCTATATTGTACCCTCCTGCCCCCCCCCCCCAGAACAGGTAATATCTATGACAGCAGCTTCCCTGCGCTG